ATGTGGTTGGGCCTCCCTGGAGGAGGGGGAACTCTCCCTCCAAGCAATAACCGCCTCCCCACCCGCCTTCCTGTCCTCCACACCAGAAGTCTCCTTGAGCAAGGTTAGCGTTCTCTCTCTTCGTACCGCACTGTACTGTATTTTGTTTCATATTTTTGTGGTTTTAAAAAAAAAATACATATGATTCAGAACGGATTAACCGTAATTACATTGAACCTTATGGGAAAAATTGATTCAGGATGTGACCAAAATCGGTTGGCGACCAAATTCGAAGGGGTCAGAACAGATTAACCGTATTTACATTGAACCTTATGGGAAAAATTGATTCAGGATGTGACCAAAATCGGTTGGCGACCAAATTCGAAGGGGTCAGAACAGATTAACCGTATTTACATTGAACCTTATGGGAAAAATTGATTCAGGATGTGACCAAAATCGGTTGGCGACCAAATTCGAAGGGGTCAGAACAGATTAACCGTATTTACATTGAACCTTATGGGAAAATTTGATTCGGGTCGCGACCAATTCGGGTTGCGACTAGAGTCGCGGAACGAATTAAGTTCGTGACCCAAGGTACCACTGTAATTCTGATTCTCTGAAGTCACATATTTTTGTCTTTTTTAACTACTTTGTCATCCAGTAATCTATTAATATTTGTCTTAAAGTTGTTTACCCTTTAAAACTTCCAGAGTCTTTGGAAATAGAGCTGCATATAAGTTGCAGTACTTAATAAACAAAAATCATTTTTTGCATTCCTTACTTTCTTCTTGCATTTTTTATGTACTACTGTGTTCCTTTTCATTCTAATTATGGCCAGAGTTCAATTTTTGAATGAAGATTAAAAAAAATTCTTTTTAATTCTAATAGATTTTTGATCATGCTGGTAAGTTGCTGGATTTGTTAGCACATTTCCTGACTGGAGTATGCATTGTAGTTAAGCTTTGTGTGTAGTTTGAGTGAAAAAACAAAAAACATGTCAAGTGTTTTGGATTTAACTCTTTTTATTTTCCTTCTCAATTTTTTTTACAAACCTCATTTTTTAAAAGATCCCTCTTCTGAAAACGAAATAGTGGGTTTCCTTGGCAATTTTGCACTTAACAGATAAATGTGTGATTAAATTGTTGTGGCCACTGTCCTAGTTCAGCAACCCTTACATCTTGTATTAGGTACCGGGTGACATTTTTGGATTTTTCCAGGGTCATCTCATCTCAGTTTACATCCATGAACAGTTGTTTTATAGCAGGACTTTTCTGGGGAACCCCAGGGTTCCCAAGAACTTGATGGGGTTCCGTGAGAAACCAATGCCAAAAAAAGAAAAAAAAATAGAGACAATTTTCTGTCACTAGAGAGCTTTCCCTCTTGATCAGGGTCCCCAGGAATTTTTTTTTTTTAAACAGCCTGAAAAAGTTAAAAACCACTATTTCAGGGCACAGTCATTTAACATATTTACCACATTCTCTATTTCAAAATCATCCTAATAGCATTCAGAATTACTTTTGAAATTATGCCCACAACAATTCAGTTAATTGAACTGAATTGAAAAGAATGCTCTTTTCAAGTTTCTAGTTGTTCAGTATTTCCCTCCTTGATATATGGAGCATCCAGAGAATACCTTATTCCACTATCTCTTTCCATTCCTTTATGCCCTTTATATGTTTTTATTTAAATGTAAATGCTTCATTTATTCCATTTTGGTTCTGAGGCTTCTATTATTAGTGTAGAGACATAGTGTTTCTATCCAGGTATCTCTCACATACTGTATACATTTTCACCTGTGACCATTTGGCCTGTTTAAATATCCAGTTCTATGATATGTTCATAACCTAGCCATTAGTACTGTTGATCAAAAGCATTTTCAGATCTCATCTTAAACAGTCCCTCCCTACCCACTGTCAGCATTCATCCAGGATCACTATGCAGGGAATGTTGCTGAGGGAACAAAGATGTATCTTTCCAGAAAATGCTGAACTGGAAAATGTTCCTATGCAAATGAGTATGATTATTATATTCAGTATCCATAGTTTGCACAAGTACATGGGCTATATTACTTGATGTGGAAAAAAACTAGCCTATTTTACAGGGTTTGAATAGCATAAAGCTCTGCTTTATGGAGAAAGATTGCTTTTACTAGAATGTTAGAAACAATGTTGAGTAATAGGCAATAAAACAATAATATACTATATAACTTTTCTGAAGTGGGAAATGTTCACTTTGATATATTGGGAAATTCTATGGTCCACATCTCTATAAAGCAATCCTCAAGAATTAACCCAGTGTTACACCACAATTCTGCAGTGTATTCTAATGGTGGCATGCAATGTCCTTGATTTTATTTTGCTTTTGAAACTGAATTAATGTTTCTGATAGTTAATTGATGAAACAAGTGAAATGTTCATGGAAGGAAGAGAAGATTCCAGTTTTGGATAAAAAGATACTGTCCAGACTCTGAGTCTATCCATTAAAGGGGTAGATTTCCTCATGAAGTTCCTCAGATTTACCCCCCTCCATAGTTATTTGTCCTATTCTTGCCTCCTCTCATTTACCAGATCTACCAGAAATTATAAACCAATTCTCTTCAGACAATTATATACTGATATACTTTGTTCTGTCACTGGGAAAATTCCTGCAGATGCCCTGGTTTCAGTTTGTTGCCAAGTGGAATCAACATTGTTAAAGAGAGAAGTGCTATGAAGGAAATACCTGTTTAACTTGTTTCTTAATTCTAAGTATGTGAGGAAGGGGAAAATGAAGCTGCTAGTGGTAAGGACAAATCAATTCTACATGTAGTGAGAAGTACTCTCTTTTGTATTATTTATATTTTAAAAATCTGGTAATAAATTCCCTAATAATCCTAGTTTCTAGTAGTTAGCTACTGCTGTGCCTCACTGTTTCTCAGCTATAAGAAAGAAACTACTATATGTGAAATATTATATATGTTTCTTGGGGTGGGAGGGAGGTCTTTTTGTTTTTGGTGTGTACATATTTTGCTGTTGCTGGGAGGAGTTGTATTTGCCTTGAAATATATGGCTCACTTTGTCATTTGGACTGTTCTGTTTGCATGGTCTTCTGGCTTCCCCTTATGTAATTTGAGTCTCGATCTAGTATTATCCGCCAAACCATGCTGCTGGTATACCAAATTGTACCCTATTCCTCATTCACATATCATCCATGAACAGATAGTATCTGATGATAATCATAGGCAAGTATAGCAGTACCAGAGCATAGTATTGTAATATCAGTAATTTTTTTCTTAGGGCTACAATACCTGGGCTGCAAAATTCCTTCTACTTAGGTTTTTCTATATCTCTGCTGTAATCTAGTTGTCTGGATTTTTTTCAAGTATGGCATTCTTCTTTATCTATATATTGTGGCTCTCCTATTATAAAGAGGAATCTTACTGTGAATGTAATTCCTTACTTTATAATATCCTCTGAAAGGAATTAATTCTTTATTGTTCTGTGAGAGTTACAGTATAAATAAAAACAAGTCATTGTGTTTTTATTTTACTAATGCAGTCTTACTTCTCCTTTAAGGAGCTTGGGATACATGTAGTTATTCAATTTTGTGTAGCTGTTTATAAATGCAGTAAACACATTTCTTTACGGTAAATTAGTTAAATTTAAGAAGTTGTATTCAGTTGTGTTCAATCTCTCCACATTGCCTCTTTCAACAGTTATTAAAAGGAGTGACTATAGCAAGTGGAGGTGTTCTACCCAGAATTCATCCAGAGCTTCTTGCCAAAAAACGAGGCACCAAAAGCAAATCTGATACTATCCTTTCACCTTCTCCAGAGAAGAGAGGAAGAAAACCTTTGGGGGCTAAGAAAAGTGGGAAGAAAGCAAAGGCTGGCAAAGCTCGGACACCTAAAAAGGTAAGCAAAACTCAGAGCAATCAGTTTTGATTATTTGGAAATAGGTGTCCTCTTAGAACTTGATCTTACTTACTCCTGAAAGTTTGCTTTATTTTAACCAGGTTTATTTCAGATGTTATAAAAGCTTAATTCCTGAACAGAGTCTTCCTAAATACTGTTGTTCATTATTAACAGACCCAAGAGCCATTGCAAGTTAAATCAGAGGAACAACTTCAGCTTTTTCAAGAGTTCAGCTGCCAGATATGGTTGGAATTTTGAGAAGAAAAAAAAAATCATACAGCTAATGAAGGGATGAAAAATATTTTCTCTACAAAGTCAAAAGTGGGTGGGGTTTGCAGGACATATAATAATATTTTTGTCTGTGCCATGGAGCCCTATATAAAACTGAGCCTATGAGTGCCCATAGACTACTCAAGATTTAATATGAGCTTTAACAAACATAAAACACAAATTACAGGTAGTCCCCAGTTTAAGAACAAGTTCCATTCCCAAAGTCTGTCCTTAAGTCAAATTTGTATGTAAGCCAAAGCAGTATTATTGTATAATACTGTATAAGTAGTATTGTATAATGAACTCAAACCATTGTATATTTAACTTGAATCATTATGTATTTAACTCGAATTTTGCTACAGTAGGCTCTGTTCTTAACTATGGGTCATCCGTAAACTGGGTGTTCTTAACCTGGGAATTACCTGTAGTCTAGTACAAAAGTTCTTTGCCTCCAGAAAAAGCTCTCTTTCATCAGTGAAGAGTCTTTGGGTGCAGTATAAAGCCTTCAACAATGCTCATTTCCAAGGAGGTATGCTTAGGATCCCAGGCTTAATATATTGAGCTTTTTAATATATATATTTTGAATTAATTATGTCATTTCCATATATGAATGGAAAAATCCGCTATGAATCACTTCAGTTATGAAAATTGTTAAATCTGGTAAAGCTATTCCAAATGAACCACACAAGTTTATATCAACTTCTGTAAAAATCCTAATCAGAAAATAAATCTGAATATCCAGATTCAGAGCCACAAAATTCTGAACCAGAGTCCAGGAATCCAGATTTTTTAGAGATGTAGTCCTAGATTATTAGATGTAGATTTAGACTACTTTGAAGCCAAGAGTTCCTCATTGGAATTGGATGATTCAGCCCACAGTATGCAGGCAACTGAGATTTCAGGAATAAAGGTGAAGTGTATGCTTAAAGAACAGCACTCACCAGGATTAAAGGTTACTTGGGATAGAAGCTTATTCACAAAGAGGAGTTTCTTCTAAATTACTGAATGGTGGCTAGCTAGAGCATGGGTGGGTCCCAGGAGCTCTGGCTTTGTAAGCCTTAGTTCCTAGCAGCTAGCCTTGGAAATGATGTCTATCTACTAGGCTATGGCCTTTGTGAACTGGATTTCTGTTGATTCACTGAAATTCTGTCCCTTGATGCTTGGACTGACTCTGGAACATGCCTTTGGATCCTGACTCTGTTTGACGCCTTGACTGTCATCTGGACTCCGTCTATGGCCTGGCTTTGGATCCTGCTTTCAATTACCTGTGAGTTGTTGGCTGCCTTACATTCCCTGACCTTGCTAGCAGCCAGATTGCTCTACTTTCTTGCCATTATTGAGACAGAAGAGGGTTGTTTTTTTAACAAACCTATTTCAGAGTTCCAAATAGACAGAAAATGGCTGGTGTGGGTCTTCCCGGCTGTGTGGCCATGTTCTTGAAGTTTTGTTTCCTAACGTTTCGCCAGCACCTGTGACCGGCATCTTCAGAGTGCAGGAGCACAGACAGGAGCAGTTCTCTCTGTGCCCAGGCTACAGAAAACCCACCCACACAGACCGGTACCTACACAAAAACTCCAACCACCACCCACG